CGAAAACTTGAGCAGGTTGCAGGAAAAAAAGATGACTAAGCTTCGTTCACCAAATTTCCATGTTTCAAGGACAAGACTTGTTATATACAATTTGCCTAAGACAATGAATGAAAAGCAATTGAAAAAGCTTTTTATTGAGGCAGTTACATCTAGAGCTACAAAGCAAAAACCTGTGATACGACAGGTTAGCTACATTTACCCTCTTGTTCTAATAGAGAAGTGTTTGTCTTCTTTCTGTAACTTTTTTGCATATATATGATTTCCTCCCTTAACTTTGATGTTGCTCATGCAGATAAAGTTCATGAAAAATATAAAAAAGGGAAAGGTTATCAACCACTCCCGTGGGGTTGCTTTTCTGGAGTTTACAGAACATCAGCATGCACTTGTGGCCCTGAGGGTTCTTAATAACAATCCAAGTAATTAATATTATTTCATATTGTTAATCCATATCCTCTTGGGATGATTTTTGACACTTTGAAAATAAGTTTCATCCCATGTTTCCCTTGTATTATTAATGGAGTATGTCTTACTGATTGCAGAAACTTTTGGTCCTGAACATCGTCCAATTGTGGAGTTTGCTGTTGATAATGTTCAAACATTGAAGCTACGGAAAGCAAAGTTGCAGGGTCAGCATAAGGATGCTCATCATGATTTGAATAATGCACAGCCAAATGCTGAACCACAAGGAAATGATGCTCCTCCAAACAAAAAGAAGTCCAGTAAACGAAAATCCAGGGACGAAAATGATCCAATGGAAAATACAGAATCTGTTAGAATTAATGACATAGAGAACACAGTTGTTGGGGAAGAACGTAGAACTGCTAAGAAGCAGAAGCATAATCCAGCAAGTGAAAAGATAAAGGAAGTTTCTTCAAAGGAGAGATCAGAAGGCTCCAAAAGGAAGCTAAAAGGCTCAAATCCTAAAGCAAAGGATCACAAAGATGGTTTAGTTCAAGATCATGGAGTTAAAGAGAAGACGATAGCAAACAAACCCCAGAAATCACACGTTGCCAAGAAAATGGAGGCAGTTTCAAAGCCAAAAGAGAGGATGCGCGAAGAACAGACAGAAGGACAAAAGGGGGGCAATAGTTTGAAGAAAAGAGAGAGGCCAAAGAAGAAGAAAGAGATAGAGGTGGTAGACAAGCTTGATATGCTAATTGAGCAATACAGAAACAAGTTCTCTCAGCAAAAACCTGGTGAAAATCAAGGTTCTAAAAAGCTTAGAAGATGGTATGACTGAATCATAATTTCCCTTTAGTGGTTTTTTTAGTAACATCATCTTCTTTGCAATACTGTTTGAAGAGGCAACTGATCTTTATTGCAATTGCAGTTTTCTTTAAAATGAAATTTTGGTAGGATTATGGATTAGTTTAAGATGAATGTAGCTTTGTAGTGTTGTTGTTTATTTTAATTTGAACTAAACGGCAGCTTGTATTTCTATAAGCACGGTTAAAGTGATTATATTTTTAAGGTTAAATACCTTTTTTTGTTCTTTTACTATAGGAAAAAGCGCATTTTTGGTCCCTGTACCGAAAAAATTATTTTTTTGGTTCTTACTGTTAACAAATCTGACTCCTTTTTGGTCCTTCCGTTAATTTTTGCTCATGTGACATGTTAACTTAATGGAAACAGTTAATGGAAACAGCTGATGTGGATATAATGATATCCTCCACGTCACCCTCCACGTGCAAGGAAAAAGAAAAAGAAAATGTTAAATGCTAAATTTGATCCCTCAACTTTATAAGTTTGCATTTTTTTTATCCTTAGATTATTTTTTTCACTTTTTTGATCTTTTAACTTTAAAAATTACACAATTTTGATTCTTTCGTCAGTTAAACATGACGTGGCAATTAAATAATTTCATTTGACATTTTCTTTTAATTTTTTTGATGACATAACAATTATATATATTATAATTATGTTATATAGATAAATAAAAATATCACGTAGATAAACATTTATATTTTAATTAAAAAATAAAATGACAGTATGACCCTCACCTCCCAATCCCTCTTCTTCCCCTTCTTTCTTTCTCTTTCTTTCTTTCCTACCCAGATCGATTGGGTTCCGCTGTCGCTGCCACTGATTACCTTCCTTTTCCGTAACTCTTTCGCAAAACACAAACATGAAATCCGCTCCGATCGATCCAATATCGTCCGTCTCGATTATTTCATCAGATCCAATGTTTCTCGCTTGCTGAAATCCAATCTCCTTGTTGTTCTCGCTTGCTGGTCCTAGTCGCACGAACCTAGTCTTGTTGGTCTTGGTTGTGTGAATCCGGCCCTGCTGTTCGTGCGAATCTGGCCCTGCTAGTCATGCGAACCTAGCCCTGTTGGTCGCGCGAACCCAACCTTGCTGGGTTTGCGCGACCAGCAAGGCTAGGTTTGACCAACCCAGGCTCGACGAAACTAGTAAGGCTGGGTTTCGACCAACCTAACCATGCTGGTCACGCGAACCCAACCTTGCTGGGTTTCGACGCTGAGTTCATGTTTTTTCATTTTTCTTTTTATTTTCATTTTCGGTTCTTGATAAATTTGAAAATTGATTTACAATTTGATTGCATTTTTCTTATGGATTAGAGTTTGATTGCATTTTTCTTGGAATTGGAATAGAGTTTGAATGATATTGTTTATGAAGGGTTAATTTGATTTGATGAGATCTACTGGCTTGATGAACTTAGTAGCTTTAATGAAACCAGTAACTGAGTTTTGATGAATGCAACAAGGTTGAGTTCGAGCAACCAACAAGGCTGGGTTTCGACGAATCTAGCCGATCTGGGTAGGAAAGAAAGAAAGAGAAAGAAAGAAGGGGATGAAGAGGGGTTGAGAGTTAAGGGTAATAATGTAATTTTATGTTTAAATTAAAATATAAATATTTATTTACGGAACATTTTTATTTATTTATATAATATAATTATAATATTATAATTGTCATGTCATAAAAAAAATTAAAAGAAAATGTCAAATGAAATTCTTTAATTGCCATGTTTAACTAACGAAAGAATTAAAATTGTGTAATTTTTAGAGTTAAAAAATCAAAAAAGTGAAAAGAATAATCTAAAGATCAAAAAAATGTAAACTTATAAAGTTGAGGGATCAAATTTAACATTTAACCTTTTTTTTTTTTTTCCCCTGCAAGTGGAGGGTGACATGGAGGGTATCATTATATCCACATCAGGTGTTTCCGTTAACTTAGCGTGCTCACATGAGCAAAAATTAACAGAATGATCAAAAAGGGGTCGAATTTATGAACAGTAAAGATCAAAAAAGAGATTTTTTTGGTACAGAGACCAAAAAATAGTTTTTTCCTATCGTAGAGAGACCAAAAAAGATGTTTAACCTGTTTCTAATTGGCGATTGCCAAGTCCAAAATGTGGACTTTTTTGGATGTTTGCGAAGTATGAGACTTAAAACCACCATGGATATGGGGCTCATACAGAGGTTCTTCATTCCGTTCAAAAATTTATTGTTATAGTTTTTATTGATTCTTTTGTTGAAAATGATATAGGTACAATATTAGGTCTCGCTAATAAGCCAGTGAAGTGCTCTAGACACGTATGGCTGGATTTAAATGCAACAGCTCACGGTATGGTAACCTGACATCTATTGATTGCTTTTAGGTCCAATTTTTTAAATCAGAACTCTCACGTTGAAGCCATGAATTTTGGGAAAAATAATATTTATGGGATTGGGGTTTTGAGAATTAAAAACTTCCGTTCTTATTTTCTGGGTAAAAATTTAGTTTTAACTTTTTATTTTATTAGATTTGTAAGTTTTAATTATTTATTTTATATTATGATACTTTTAGCTTTTCATTTATTAAAATTAAAGAAAATAAGTTTTATTTATAACATTTTGTTAGTTCTATTAGTTGATTGCTAACTCTATTAGTTAACTATTAGTTTGTTGTTAACTAATAAAAATTTACTTTCAACTAATAAAATTAACAAAACTATTCTATTAGTTGACTGTTAATTTTATTAGTTCAATATTAGTTACCTATTAGTTGGTAAAAATCTATTTTCAGCTAATAAAATTAATAGTTAATTAACAAAATTAATAATTGGTTAACAAAACTAATGAAATATTATAATATGAGGGTTATTTTTTTCAATTCTAATAAGTAAGGGACTAAATATATTATAGTATAAAATAAAAAGATAAAATTTATAAATTTAATAAGATAAACGAGTAAAATAAATTTTTTCCCATTCTCTGATGAATAAGTAAGGTTGTTAAATTCCACCATTGATACAGTGAATTGAGGAAGCCTGCAGGTATGATTTATTTTCGTGATTGAGACTACAGGAAAATGTTAAATTAAAGAAAACTAATTTTTAAAAAAAGTAGTAGTCTTTTAGACATGTTCTCCTCGAGATTCATAATGTCGGTGTTGATATCAATGTTGAGGGTTTCAAAATCAAAGATATTTTAATAGAAATATCAGTGGATTGAAAAAAAATAAATAAATTGATGCCTGCATCTGGCCCTTGTGTCAAGTGTTTTCCGACCACATGATCAATTCTCTTTTTCTTTTTGGGCAGGGTTGAAACTTGCCCCATGTAATATTGTTTAAAAAAAATTAAATAAATAAATAAATTGATGCCGACTTGAAGAAAGTTGTAAAAATTAAGAATCTATTTAGTACTACTTCTGTGAAAAATAATATATGTTTCTTTTATTTTATTTTTATATTAAAAATTTAGAGATAATTTTTATTTTTACTTATTTTA